GCATAACGGAATGCACGAAAACCTCAAATAAATTACTTCGAAATATAGTAGCGAGTTGCGTCAACAGCCTCAGGAAAGGTTTTATATGGCGGAAGTAACGACTGCGCGATCTGTTACGACGTTGCAACGTGTTGTATAAACCAGTGGTTCTCTATGACGACGATTTTCTTTCACCTGAAGGTGTTCACGTAAGGTCTATTCATACGTATATTACAATAAGATATAGATTACTTCAATATAAATGTTTATATTTGTCTACTTTTCAATATAATTATACTTTTGCGATTCCAGAAGGAATCACAATTAGGCACAAAATAATGTCTGATTACACAAGACGCACGAGATGAACGAGTCTTAAAGGATTAATTGAGAATAAGTCACGTTTACAAAGAACTGCAGACACTGATCCATCATTCTTTTATTTGCAATTCTGTTGATCTGTAAATTATTTCCTTGAACTGCTTCATCCTGCTCTAAGAAAAATATACGTAAAAATTGTAATGATCATGCATGAAAACAGGAAACCTATATTCTTGACAATTACTGTGAAAACAAGTTGTTTCTCGAAATAACTTTAAAATCAGAATTTAAACTTCAATCATGGATAAGTGATGCTTTCAAATTCTGAATTGATTTTTTGTATTATTTAGTCGTTATGAAAGACCGCTTTGCATCGAAAAGTGAATCGCCCTATACGATCTGAAGTTAGCTTGAACGAAGTGATTGTTAGGAGATATTTGATGTAACAATCAATTAAAAAGTTGTTCCTCTGATCAGCTGTCATGAACGTAAGTTTCAATTCAATTAATTATAATCACAAATATTAGTAAACAAGTACTTAATATTTGTGTACATAGTACGTCTTGTAGAATTACTCCTCAGTACAGCAATATTTATTATTGTAATCAAGATCCAACAATAAACGAAAATTACGATCCGTTCTCAACCTATAAACAGTAGGGAGTCTAAGGTCGACCCAGCGAGTGCAAAGCATAGATTTACCCTCTCCAGTGGTTCGACGATCGAGCTGTCCACCACTCCTCGTTTACCGACTGTAGTGCCCTCCTGGTTTCATCGCACGAAGACGATTCTCGCTGATTAGTTGGCACGCGCTGACCATTTGGAATTTGGTTACTTTGTACGTTGGACGAATATATAACATTAGAACTACTGGACTGGTTCACACGTTTGTGACTACGATCAAATTCGAAATACCTTTGCCGTAGACCATGACTTTTATGCAATTGTTTCAACTAATATGTTATTCATTTAATTGTTGCACACAAAAAATAGTAAAGAAACCAAATGAAACATTTTACACAAATGTTATATATGATATTTTTATACAGGCAAACTGACAATAGTGTATATCATATGCCTAATATATGTTAATATCATAATTAGTAACGGTAGTGAACAGTGTCACAGATATGTGACGCGTAGTCGAAAATGTGTTAAAGACCAATGTATATTATCTGTACGCTTACGCTTCTTCCAAAATTCATTCTTTGTCGATTGTTTTCGATGAATGAAAATAGTGCGAAATTGGACAAAGATTCACAGAGTGAACACATGCATTACAAACAATTGAAGATTATTTGAACGAACTGAGAGCGGATCGAGACCTAAGCTATATTAATCGAAACTTAATCGATAGTGTGTATCGAAGTTAAAATAACCTATTTCAGATTTTTCGTTTTATATCTACAGGGATTATAGAGTTATTTTTGTAGAATACTATTAACAATTAACTATCAAGATGAATATTAATGTATTTCAAACTTTTTCCCTTGTATCATAAAATGTTTTAAATTTGGATACTCAAGTTAATTTAGGGCATACATTAAAACAAACGATACTACTTCTATGTAATTGATCTATTAAACACTGTGAACTGAAATATTTTGTAAAGAAAGGGTCATTCCATGAAAACCTTTAAGGTCTTTTGAATACTATACATCCAATACGATTTGTACTCTAGTACTATTAAAAAATCCATAGCGTTACCCTGAAGTTCCCCCTATTAGCGCAATAGACGCGTTTACATCACATCAGTAACAAAAAAAAAAGTCTTTTAACGATACTGTAAGAGGTGCCGACGCCCGTTTGAATTGCGTCGAAATGCGCATCGGTAATTTTGGGGGAGAAAAAACAAACGCTTGAGACGTTATGGGATATCGGGGCACTTCTCGTCGAGCCGTGGTCGGGATCAGTCACGTCGACGGAGAACGTATTTTCATTTTATTGCGTTTTCTATGTATTCATTTTTCGTGCAGTCGTGAGCCGACTATTTTTCTATTCATTAAAGCTAACTGAGATATTAAGACTCGTTTGAATACTGGCCTAAGTCTGCCGAATTTTTCCTGACACCTTACAATACAGTTTAACAAAATTCACATATTTCACAGATTCTTTATAACTTTGAAAATTTACTTTTTCAGCGCTCACAGTCTTATATCGAAACAATTTAGACATTAGATAAACATTTTATCGATTTTTGTTATATTTCTCTGCAATATCATAATCGCATTGTATGTAAGTACAAATTAGGTTTTTTAAATACTTTTCAATAAATTAGTGATTTAATGCCTTACCATATAATAACGAATAAGATTCGACTGGGATTTTACTTCTGGTTTAATTTAATAAAAATCAACGTTATTCATTATACATGAGTGTAAGGGAATGAAAAATGTTTCATTTTTGTAGTAAATATGCATTTATAATGAACAGAAAATCTCTTTACATGTTCGTAAATTATTAATGTTGAAATAAATTTGAAGAGCACAGTCGAGAGAAACATCATCGTTAAGGGTTTAAACAACAGGTAAATAGAGTAACAGCCGTTGCAAGTTCTCGAACGAAAAACAGAATAGTCTGGACCGCAAAGGATTAACGCGTGAAGGTAAACACCGTGTGCCCAAGGATTGCGTTCTCGAAATAGCAATATGTATTAGAAATGCAACAACGATGGGATTTAATTGCGAGAAATGCGGTGAAGGTTGGCGTAATAATATTCCGAGAAACTTTTCTCGGAGAGTGACATACATGTTTGCACCATTGAAGACTACGACACTGGTGACAATGGAAATAACGGTCACTGGTTACGCGAGAAGGAATACCGGAATGATACTAGGGGATCCGCTACTTTTTCTAACCGATGCAACTGTATTTACGGTCGAGGACATGCTCTAAAAAATATTCAAACCACTGATTCTACTTCTCAGCTTCCACTACCGATCTTCATTTAAAGATATTCATAACATAGAGAACAATCCTCTTGAGTTGACAAATATTATTTATGCAATTTCGTTAATGCTAAAATTATGGAACAACGAAATTGTTATGTATTTTTTAAAATATAAATTATAATTTACATGGGATTTATTTATGTAATAATTTATAGAGGAAGTAATTATACTTTTTTTTAATTATACAAAAATCTATTGTCTATCATCTGGTTGCCCAGGTATGTAATTTCGTATGTCAAGACAATCAAAACATTCTATTTTCATTCGAATTATGTTGGAAGTAACGAGCGATTATTATATAGTGCCCGAAAACTATTACATGGTGGTCCTGTTAAGTCATCATTAAATCACAGAAAGATAACATAAGCATTTCATATCGTGTGAGTCAGCAAACATCTAATGACGAGTTGATAGTACGTACAAGAAGAAAAACTTCCATACATCACATCAGTTTAATAAGATAGTAACGAAATGAAACATACACGAAAAAAAAGAAACACATCAAATTTGTTTAACATAGTGCTCAAGAGATTCTTGCGACCATTCGAATTCTGCGACCATAGAACAGTAAACTGATTTTTCTTGGAGTAAATGTAAAATTTATCATTCGAACAAGGACATTAGAATTAATCGAATAAAGTTGTATGATTTTTTAAAGTATATATTCACTGGTTAACATCTCATTCTATAAACATTGTTTAAAAAGACCTTACGTAGTAATTAAAATGATCATTAAAATTATTGATGAAGACGCAAAATTTGAAATTTACCGAGAAACCGCCTCGGAGTTCAGAAAAATGGCGCCGGTACTCAAAGAGTTGAGCAATCTTTCCCAGCAATCGGTGTAAAAATATTTCCACGTATGTATTTACGTGTAGTTCAACGTGTAAGACCGTGCATCATCGTCAACAAGCATATCCGGTATAAAGAGAAACAAAGTAGACCATTTTTCGCCTAGTGGGGTTATGTATTGGTGGCATCGACCGATAACGCGCGAAACGTTCCTGTTCGACCTGAATACGGAACGAAAAGCCTGCAGGCAACAGTTTAGAAAGGTGATTTTCATCGATACAACGTGTAAACTTTTATTGGACATGTTCTTGCACACCTGCCTTCGAGTCTTACGTGGCACGTATCCTGGAGGCGGGATGCGTTTGCTCTATCAAGGATAAACACGAAACGTTTCGACATCATCGTCGGATACTATTTTTTCTTGGTCGGCTTAGAAATACCTCACGTTAGATATTTCTCAGTTTTCAACGATTTTAATCAAATTTCGACATTCACGAATCTTCAAAAATTTACTTTATTATTCAATCAAGCTGCGTACCATCATTTATTTTAATTCAAATAGAATCATAAATTAGGTTAGACTTAATTTTAAACGAATAGTTTGATCAGTAACTACAACTTGATATTACATTATTTGTATAATTTTGAAAATACAGTTCACGTGCATAGAAAAATCATTAAATATCGCACTAATAAATCTATTTTTCTCGAAATATTCATTTGAAATTATTCAATTAATGACAGTAACAGATGTCCACAATAAATATTGCTGTCATTCAAAATGCGCGCGTTAAGCTCGAGATCTTCGGTTCCGATATGCAAAATGTATCGGGCCGTATTGTCGTGCCGCTTTGTTGAAAGCTACACAGCGTATTACATCATCGCGTACTATGCACGGTGCCGAGTTAAAATCAATAAACGCTGGTATGCGTGCCCAATCGAAAATTGGAAACTCACCTTTGCGACGAGTTGTTGGCCGGTGTGGACGTCGACGCATCGATACAGAGCGCTCCCCTCGGCCGGACCGAGAAGTACATACCGATCGCCAAGTATGGCGGGTCCATGGTGATCGGTGGGCAGCGGTTCATAACTAGGGAAGACAACTGGCGGCACAGAATTCGTCTCGTCGCTTGTTGGCTGCTGACTGATGTCCTGACTATTGTTGGGATTAACCAGGAACTTTCCATTGTTGGTACGAGTCCCTTGCAGATGAAGAGGATACTGCCTTGTGGCGGCTGTCACTCTCATATTGTGCCGTTTTCACACGCGCACCGTTTCTTACACTACACTGTGTTTCGTCTCCACACTCCTGTGTCTTCTGTTCCGTAATATCTCCTGCGGATTACGTTCTCTGTCGCGGATGACGAGTGCCGTTGCGCCGTTCGAATTCAATCAGTTTTTAGAATTCAAAAAGTAATATTGTCGGTGTACCGTTAAAACGGAATAGCCTTGAACACACTTCACGTCACGGGGTTACCAACGCGGTAGCTGCGACGATTATCGATTTTAACAGGCGATTAACGCCTTTTAAAGCTTTATCGAGGTACGAAACTCGTGTGTATATATATACATATATATATCAATATACATATATATATATACATATATATCTATACCAATTAATTATAGTTAAGAATATCACTTGTGCGAGGGCCCACGCAGAGAGTTGCTTCGCACTACCTGTGGGTCCTTGGACGGAGATCTTCGTGGGTGACAATCGGTCACGTTTACGAAAAAGCTCTGTAACACACAGAAAGAAAAGGAAATGTAAATGTAAATATTTGAAATCTTCAAAGGTGCGTTAGAATTCTTTAAATAATGTGTAAAAGTAGTAAAATGTTGATGCAAGTTTTAAATGATTCGGTTTCGGGTACAGAGCAAAGCGCAGTGACACACATTGTGATGCGAAAAAATTCTGATGTCGGTTGCCGTGTATACATAATGGGACTCAAATGACAAGAGTTCCGTCCATTAACTCTATGTGATTCACGGACAATTTCAAAAGACTACGTTTCGACATTCGTCCTGCCTTGTGTGCAATTTCTATGGAGAAGGGGACATCGTAAGGTCAGGGATATCGCTGTAAGGCGGTCGTTGTGCCGTAACGTTCTAGCCAGCCGAGGAAGCCCGGTCGCAGAAAAATTATAAAACGTGATGCAAGAGAATCCTCGGTCGTTATTAATGTCGGTAATGTAACACCCAATTTTTATCAAACCTTCCCCTCTAGTTTATTCACACCTCATTGCGCGTCACCCATAAGATGCGGACACTTTATTACCTCATTTCGGTTACTATTTATATGTACTCCGATCTCAATATCTTGATATTGTATCAATCTTCTTGAGTAACGGAATTTCTCTCTTGTTTCATAGTTTACAATTCATAATCACTTTTCCAAGTAAAATACAAATTTGAAAATATTAATAAGCAAATCGGTTAAAAAGAATACTAGTGATTCATTTTCATAAAAACAACTCGTTTCTTCCGTAAGCATTGAAATTCAAGGATACGCAAGTATGTAAAAAGAGTCCTTTAAAATACACAACGCAGGATTCATTGCGACCAAGATGAAAGTTCGAAATTGAGACAAATTACTTGTTACTGGCCATGTTATTTCACCGCGTCGAAATGTGCGGAGCTACGTTCGCGTCTTGCTTATTATAGTTGCCGAATAACGCAAAACTGAAAGAGGTTGACCTTGAAAACGAAAACGAATAATTTGGGCGCGTATCAGAAATTCGAATTACATAGCCGGCTTGATCGCTCGCTCGAGTTGGTCATTGGCACAACCGTCGACTATCGAGACATTAGCGAAAACGTGCTATTACGATATCTACGCACTTGCGCAAAACTCCCGCCGTTCCAAAGATCAGGGATGTGCGCGAGATATTTCTTGCCTGGTTCCTTCCATTCTGGAATGATATTTGATAGCCGGCCACGGCTCTGATCGATCGTTTTTATCTTGAGAAGCTAGTCAAAAGTCACCCCATATCCCGTTCGAATTGCATCAGGGTCAGTATTCAAGCAGAAAGGCAGCGGTTACCACCAGGTGCCACGGACCCTGGAACCTAGCGAGCGTCCCCTATCCACTTTTATTGAATGAACGACTATCTGACGAAACAGCAGGCTCGAAATTAGTAAAGCGTTGCGTCGTCGGCACGGTAGCGCGTGTCGAAACGCGTGTATACTTAACACGTACACTACCCAGCAGATAGCAGTATCCTTCGGTAAGGTCAAAATGGCGGAGTTTCACAGTTGTCACGGCGATATTGCGGGCACCGGTTGCATTAATAGCGCGCGCAAACGTGACGCAATACCGCGAAATAAATTAATTGCCTAATACGTCCGTTCACGCAGTCCATGGTTTTCCGTCAATGAATAGCGCCGGCGTTAGCGGGACTTCCGACGTCTATTAACTACAAGATTAGTGACGAAAATGGTTTATCGTTTTCGATCTTCCGATCGAGCAAACTTCAAAATGATCATTTGAAATGTCGAATGTCATTACGAGGTAAACATTCGTATCATTTTCGCGACATTCAAACTCGTTCAATAATTCCAATGAAAAATGTTGTCGGTTATCGTGAAATCTTCAATTACGAAAGTAAAAGAACCGATGGTAAACGGGAGCAGGGGTGCACCGATATCAGGGCAAGCGCACCAAAGTAAATACACGATACAACCGAGAGACTGACATCGATCCGGTACGCGTCAGTAATAATCACTGCACTTTGCACTGTACTCGCGCGACTTCGATACGCAAAATACGGTTATGTACGCGCACAAATTCCTATTTTTTTCTCCTATCGTTTATTCCCAATACGTTTTCCAGCGTGACGCTAAGAGCGACGCCAGCATGCAGGGCAGGTTACCTTTCAATGTTCTCGTTGTTGCCGTACGTTCCTGAACGGGAGGTTGGAATGGAGAAACGGTCGAACGTTAGGACCGAGTTTCCCCCAAAGACGTTGTTGATAAACCGCCGTTTGCTAGAAAATCGAATTCTCCGGGACACTTCCGGGAGTATTGGTTTTTCGAATAGCGCGCGCGTCGGATCAAACCTGGCTCCTTCCTGTTTGGCTGCTCTACCTGGATGGTGTTGGTAGTGGTGTCTCTTCACCGTTCTTGGTGTGTTCGTTCACCGACGAGTGGTCGGAATTTGATGATGCTTTTTTTTCTCTTCCGTCGCACAGACTGCGGCTGTTTGAATGGAAGGCTCCAAGAGTGAACTGGAAAGCTGAGCGGTTGACGAACGGGGGAGACTGCAGAGAGATTTGTATCCCGCGCAACGGACGGTCCAACGTTTTGGGCCGACCCTCCGCTCAGAAACGACGGCGGCAGCAGAACGAGCAAGTACAGACCGATCGCGCCATTGTGCAGCAAACGACTAAAGCCACGGTCGCCGCCTCGAATTAACCCGACGGAATCGGTGAGCGAAATGCCATGGGGAGGGGTTGTGGGGGCTGAGGGGGAGATGAACGCGCATGCGCGCTCCCTGGACTCTACAGTGTCGGCGCAAGGCCCGTCCCCGTGGATCGGTGCCCTCGCGTGCTTTTTGTGCTTGTGAAAAACGTGACTGAAATTTTCGAAGGTCCATCACAATAGACGGGAATCTTCTTTGTCCCGTGCTTCCTGCGGTAAGATAGCTTATTTTTTTTTAATCGTTAAAAATTGTAATGAATGCACTCCGCGTATCGATGAGAAACGAACGAGCTCGTATTATTTAATACGACTTCGAATCACGTCAACGTTTTTAACTTTCCTGTGAAAACGCGTTCGTTCGGCGATCAACCACAAAGACGTTATTCATAATACAAATACGAACTTCTAAATCCCTATTAGTCGCATTACTGATTCACCGTGCGTGGCTTTATCTTCGACTCGCAATATTTTGTTGAGTTACATTTAATCTTGACCTGTGATGCAACGCGCAATAAAGTTGCAGAACATTCGACGAACGGTACTAGAAAATTGTAGAACGGTCGGCCCGATAAGATTAATGGGGCCTCGCGATCCAAAGCTGCGTCACTGGCTACATAAGTACGTACGTGGGCATCCTAAACCGCGACACGCGGTCATACATGCAAATCCGTTGCACGTTTACAACAGGCTATCTGTAACAGTATTTACCTCTTTTACATCATCCCAGAGTCCGTAACTTATTATTAATCGGATTGATTGCAATTTCTTGCTGAAATTTTCCACTCGTGTTGCGATCGAGCACCGTGATAAAATCGTGTGTACGTACATACGCGATTCGACGCGTGTTTATTATACGAGAAATTCCCTAGATAAGGGATCAGATTTAGCGGGTCGAATTGTATTTGGGAGCATTTTCAATCGATAAATCGTGGCCGCGGGACGGTGGATCCTTTCGGGATATTCTTTTCGTATAAACGATGCGCCCTTGACCTACCTTAACGTTCCTTAGCAACCGAAAGGAGGCTCGCTTTAAACAATCGTCGGTAACTAAGGGCATGTAACCTCACCCACGTACTCTGATATGACCGTGAGAAAATGTAGAGTCGTCGCGCGGTAGCTTTCGTCACGAAGAAATTGAAACGCGTTTGCTGCTCTTTTGAGTCATTTCTTGAAATACACTCTATAACCTTATTACACGTCTCAAGGTAGCAGACAGATTGAAAATCCAAAATTATAGAAATATGTAGAGGCTATATAAAAAAAAACACAAAATATTGAATAAATTGGTGGCGCGTTAAGTCCGATATGCTTTATAATGAAATCACATTATTAGAAAATATTATCGTGTATAGTTAAAGATATCAAATTTTCTGAATAATAGAATGAAATTAAAAATTATAGCGTGAAATTTGAAGTTGCTCTTGTTAACACTCACCACGCCGGGAATCGGTCAAATAATGATATTTAAAATTCTGCATTTTCATTCATTCATTTAACTTTATATCAATTTCTATATCGTTTAATTAATCGGTTTTTCAATTTTTGTCTTTTCTTTTGCTTCTGTTTTCATTAAACAAAATTTATCATCTAACTTATTTACTATTATTTTGTAGTCAGTTATTTGACTGGTTACGGTAGGAAAAGTGCTGGAACAATTAGTGTTAAAAATGATTAATTGCATTAATATATTCATTTATATATCACAATTAGAAAAATGCTTGGAGATGTACATATGCTTCATAATACATTTATAATTTTATAAGAAATTACGAAATAATTGTTCTAGTTATTCTACAGTTCTAGCATTCTACAAAAATATTTTCCGAAAGGCAAATTTCAATTTTTAATAACTATATTTCATATTCAATTCAATTTTCGATAAAATTACTTCGAAAGAGCGAAATGAAATTTCCGGTATAGAAATCAGATTTCCAAATACTTCATTGCTGGGCGTGACGAAACATAAGAGGGTTTTAAACTCTTGGTTATCGCGGTACTAAATGATCAAACAATGATAATTTGCGAAAATTGATTACGTTCGTTCAGATTGCAGCGAATGATTCGTATTTTAAAAGAGTAATCGCAATTGTATCATCCAAACATAGTAGTCATTTTCGTTAATCAGAATTAATGCACAATGCATACTCGTTTAAATTTATTACAGCATGTTGTGATACGTGTGTGGGTAAACAGTTCGCAAATGATTCTTACCGTTGATAACTCGATGATATACGATACACGCGGCAAAAATCATATAAGCATGGTTTACTGAAGAGGTCTGACTTTTCAATTGCGTGGCGTTTGAATCATACTCGTGTCAAGCCAGGCCTTCGTATTTCCAAACCAGCTCATCCTCAAACCGGATATTGTTTAAGCTAGTCTTCTTTTTTAATACAACCCATTTTGGTTTTTCTATGAATGATGGTTGAATCATTTCGCAGGTCAATGACTTATACAAACCGTGAAACTTCTGTAAAAATAACTAGTCAACAGTTTGGGATTACAAATTTATGGATAAATATAAAATATGTTATTTAAGTAGTTTAAAGAATTTTCTTTGTAAAATGTTCTATGTCATATTTTAGCAAAGAAAAATTATTAGTTTGCTTTTTTATGTTATGAATTCAGAATAAAAAGATGATAATGATGCTAAATTATAATGATTGTAATAAATATGTATTATATATTTGAAGTATATGTGTACAAAATATCAAAGGTAGGGCGTCAAGTAAATAATATAAAATTAATAGTCACTGTTTGTATTCAATGAAATATTGTAAGAAGCAATGGTACTTGTCTTTCAATGAATTATCTAAATATGGAAAAATTCCACGATATTCATTTACATGAATAAAATGGTTGGAGTGTAGCTTCCTGTGTCATGTAAAAGGCCCTGATAATACATGGAAACAAAAAACACAGAATTTTTTTGCTATCCTTAACAGGTTCCCAGAAAATAACTTGTAACACTTTACAGGGACCACCCTGTAGAATGTTAAGCATACAAAGTGACGGTCCCCACAACTTTCAAGCCACTTTACTAGATCCAGAGAAAAAAATTATATTTTCGTCTATTTTTAACGGTTATGAACCTTGAATAATAAAAGTATTACTGTTCAAAGCATTTTTTATTTTAAATCTTACTTATAATATCTTTTTATGCTATCAAAGAACTTTTTAAGTATTTTCGTATTCAATTTTTAATGAATTTTAGTAAATTCCATTTTATAGAAATTTACGATCTTAATCTTGTTATTTAAATTTTAAAAGAAAAGATCATTTTAAAAATGTGAATATTTATAAAGATTATTGTTATGTTATTATTGTTGTTTTTTCTGCTTTTTAATTTCGTATAAATGGAATACAATTAAAAATCCGTTGCATCATTAAATAATTAAACAAAGTAAATAAAGCAATTAGAAATCATTCGAAGATATAATCAAGTATCATTAATAAGTTTCGTTTGTTTGTTTGGAATACTGTGCGCAGACGAAGTATTTATCCGACACGATCAACGTTTTCTAATAATAACCAATTATTATGTCATTCACCTAATTATCAAACTTTTTCAATGAAACAAGATATACATATTTCTTGGTGCATTTAAGGGAAAGATAGCCAGTAAGAGAAAGATAGTCACGTTGGACTGTGAAACACAATTGGTGTACTCTTCCTCTTATCGTAGATTTATTATATATCTATGGTGGAGTGCAATAGGTATCGATAAAAAGATTGATAATCTTCTACTGAATGTTTTGCGTTCTTTGATCGATTTCATAAATTTTTCCACATTCTAGTGGAGGTCGTTCGAGGTATTGATTAAACATCGAGAATATCGATTTATCGATTTACAATTATGGAGACTGTCATTATGTTAATGATTTTATATAAGTATCGTGATACTTCATGACAAAGATATAATCATAAAATGTGAAATGTAAACCTTAAAAAATTAACGTTGTTTCACAAATATAAATTTAATAATTATTAATTCTGATTTACAAAATTATTAATTCTGATTTACAAAATATTTTATTGCTCATGTATTTTTTGTTACTGTAATACTATTGTTGTCAGTATTATAGCATCGTTTTGTTTATCTCTTTTAGTTTGTCAATTGTGATCTGTTCCATCTGTTTTATCTATTTATAGTGCGCATATTTATTTGATTTAATTATAAACATCTTTACAATCTGATCATAAAGTAAATAAATTTTGTAATTGTCGAAATAAATTTGAATTTAAATTTGATATAATACTTCCTGAACAGTTATAATTTATATATGTTTAACACATACATTTGTTTTATTTATATAACAAGTACACATTACAGTTACTTTTATGAAGAAACTGCAGTGCTGCAACAAGTCAATTTGATCCATATTGAATTTTATGTAAATGTTTGGATCAATTTTGATTGATCCACATACGCAAATATGTATACTAATTTGAAGTGACACGTTCGGTCAATTACTTTTAATTGTTTCCCTTTTTCTGCTTCTTGCAACATCTGGACAGCTTTTCCATTGCGCGATTAAAGAGTCGTGTGATCTTTTGCCGGATATTGCCGTCGAAATTTCGTCATATAGTCTGGAATGGCCCCAAGGCCGAACAGCATTTATCGCGACTTTTTGATAACGTATTACGGTTTTCGATTTTTGGGCTTTATTTTGGAGATTACCTAGATATTTTTAGGTGGACAAATGTTCTGTCGTCGACCAGTCTTCCGGATCGTTACCTGTAAAAGTATCAATCGATTTTTAAGCCTTTCTTCCACCATAGTGCTTCCAAACGCGAAATCTACCGTGATAGTTCTTATCTTTTATCGCCTGGTCATAATGTCCGAAAAACGAATTCGATACAATTCGAATAAAGTAATGCTTCGTGATTATATTATTTTATTATCGTAACAACATTTTTAGCGAATATAAATCCATCTATAATCAATATTGAATTTTTCAGATGCGTTTTCTTTTAAAATTGTGTTCAAACTGTTGAAAGTAATGT